GGCGAGGAGCCGCCGGCGGGAGCGGCGCCGCTCGCCGCCTGCCGCGCCGGCTGCCTCGGGCTGGGGTCCGCCATAAGTGGGGCTGGCGCTGCTGTGGTGACGATTACGGCTAGTTCCGTGCCCACCTTCGCCCTCGATCAGTGACTGCTTGGCGATCACGGACGACACGACGCGGTACCAATTCAGGGATAACGGCTAGGCACGCCGAACCGACAATTTTAAATGATCCGATATTTCAGCACTATCGTGCTGTCGTCTGAAGGGCCGGACGGTGCATCACCTGCGCACACGTCAGCGGCATCCAGCGTGTCGACTACGTAAGAATTCCGACAGCTATGGCTTTGCACAAAGGCTGCGCATCTGAGGCGAGTGCGCCCTGGTTTTGTGTGCCTGTCAGAGCAGCAGTCGGAGCAGAGTTGTTATCAGCAGATTCTCTGCCTGCTCTACCGAACATGAGCCATCCAACGCCGGAGACCCAACGGCACTGCCCAGTCACCCACAACATGACAGTGCGCTAGGTCAAACCTGGCAGACAGAATCGCGTGCATCCGACACGAGCCCGTTGTGCTACAATCAACCATTGCAGGCGAGTCGCACGCGGCCGTGAGAGTGCCCACGCTTGCGGGGCGAAGCCTTGGTTGTTGCGGGTCACCGCAGGCCGGGCGGGGCTGCGTGCGCCCCCCGCGGCCGCCGCGCATGCGCTCCACAGCCCTCGCCGCGGCCGCATACTGCGGACCACTGTTGCTGCTGCTGCTGCTGCTGCTGCTGCTGCTGCTGCTGCCGCTGCCGCTGCTGCTGCTGCTGCTGCTGCTGCTGCTGCTGCTGCTGCTGGCACTTGCCGGTACCTTTGGCGCTGGAACCCTGCCCATGCTCGCACGGAATCCTGCCACGCCTGCTGCTTACACAAGTAGTTTGCTGTCTACGGAAGTTTGCAGTCTGGCTTTGCAGGTTTGCAAACACAACATCGCAAAGTGTCTCATGTATTGTGGGAGTACTCCAGTGGTTGCCTGCACAAGTACAGCGGACGACGGGGCACCGCAGAAAACAACAATCACTAATCAAAGGTAGAAAATGCCCCCCGTGAAATAGTCGCCCGCGGCGTTTGAGCGCTCCGCGGAGCCTCCAAATGCTGCCATTACCCTGCCGAGCGTTCCTTGCCGCTGGGGCTGCCCCACCTCCATACCTGCGGGGCCTGCCTGCACCACCCCTCCCCTCTCACCTCACGTCTTAATCGCGTCGGAGGGCGCGAATCAACGCCTCGGCTGTCGCCGTTGCCTGCCTGTCGGCGGCATCCATGCGCGCGTCCTCCCGCTCACCCATGCTGTCGGGGGGCTGGGCGGCTTCATCCAAGACATGGAGCGCCGCCATCTGCTCGGCCGTGCCAGCAATCCAGCTGCTGCCGCCTCCACTGCTGCCACCCACGTCGCTGTCTCCGCCGTCGCTGCGGCTGCCGCTGCCTCCGTTGCTGTCGCCGGCGGTCTCACCGAGGGGGTTGCAGTGATACTCTTCAATGCCTGTATTCAACATCTGCGCCATCAACGCGATGCCAAACTGGCCCACGGCTACCCTGCGCCCGTCGCGGCCCGGACCACTCCAGCTGCCGCTGCCGCTGCCGGGCGCCTCTGGCGACCGAGAACCAGGCGAGTGCGGCTGCCCACGCTTGACACGCTGCCGCTCGCTCAGCAGCAGCTGCTGCTCCTCGTCATATCGAGTTTTGTGCTGCTGCCACTGCGGCGTGGCGTAGTACGCCTCCAGTGAGCGCTGCAGGATGCCGCACGGCCCCGGTAGGGGGACTAGAATGTGCCGGCGCCAGTCCAGCATCTCTTCTGGAGGCACCATGCACTCTGTTTCGAAGGGGTCTGGCGCCCCCATGAAATAGTCGCCCGTGGCGTTTGACCGCTCCCTGGAGCCTCTAAAGGCTGCCATTATCCTGCCCAGCGTCGCCTCATCTGGACTGGGCGCCAGGTCGGTATGTCTTTGCGAGGCGCCCCCCGCCGGCAGCCGCACTGGTCGCCCCGACTCGGGATCTGCCCCGGCCTGGTGCTTTTTCTTTGGCCCAGGGGACGTTGGCGACCCTTCTCCCGCATCCATCGCCGCGCCCGAGGTGGGGTTTCGTTTTCCGACAGACTTACGAGATCGCGGCACGACAACAACAAAGCGAGGCGAGTGCTCGTTCGAAACAGCGATAGTGTACACCTCTACCGTATACAATATCAGGATCACGTGATCGGAGCACTTCAAGACGGTCGCCTTTTGTTCTTGCATTGATTTTCACCCGCACACCAGTACAGGCTTGGGTAGGCATAGCATCCTCGTTGCAGGCGTCGACATCATGGAGCGGTTCAAGCAGGCGCCTGGGCATGGCCAGCCTCCCGCGCATCCGCGCCAGCACGAGCAGCGAGGCGCCCCGGCCGCCAGCCCCTGGGCCCGGCTCGGCCATCAGGCGTACATAGAGCGGCCGCAGGACTTTGAGCCGCTGTGCCTCATAGTGCCACACGTAGCGTCTATGGCGCCCGGCAGTGCGCTGTTGGCAAGCCGCAGCTGCAGGCCCCGCCTGCCGTCAGACCCGGGCTGCAGAAAGGCGTTCTCGGTCGCCGCGATGCGCACGGTCGCGGCGACGCTCGGCATCGCGACGTTCACCTGCCCAGAGGCACTCGTCGCGACGTTCCAGAAGATTGTGGAATGCCCGCGTGTCTGCCCCCCCGGCTACGTGGCCATGCTGGGACTGCTCGCGACTGGCACGTGAGGCAGCAACGGAGCGCGCTGCGGCCGCGCCGGCCATGCAGCTGCTGGCAGCTGCGCTCGTGCACAGTCGCCCCTGCGGCGGCCGCGGCGGATCGCTGCATGTGGTATGACGTTGTTTTGGGGGGGGGGGGTGGTCGCAGCCTCTCGCCGCGCAATACATTCACGGCGCAAATTGCAATTCGTCCACGGCGCAACGCATCCACTTCCGTAGCCCCCTCCCTCCCGCTCCCCCTCTCCACCCTGTCGGCCCCTGAACCCCGCCCCCAACCCTGTCCCCTCGCCCACGCACCTGCAGCATGTTCCTGGCCACTGCCACGCTGTGGGCCCAGGTCCAGCCCGAGTTTGGTCACCTGGGGGCGCCCCTGTGCACCCTGCTGGTGCACAAAGAGGCTGCAGCGTGAGTGCGGGGCTGGCGCGACGCGGGCTGTGGTGCAGGGAGCATTGTTGCGGCGCTGCCTTGATGGCCAGCCGTCATGTGTGTGCGTCGCGTCGGTCCACACGCGCACGTGCTTTCTGCTTATCGGATGATCTGGCTGTACTTGTGCTTGACGCCCTGAACCACAGGGCCCACCTGGAGCACATCAGGAGCGAGAGCCCCCTCGTACTGGACGCCGGGCGCGTCAGCGGCTTCTGCCCCTTCATCTTCATGCTGCACCCCAAGACGTACGAGGCGCTCCCGGTACGCTGGACCGGCAAGTGGTCGCGGCCCCAGATCGTCCTGGGCTACTATGGCCGCGCCTTCTGGGCGACCACGCCGTGGCTGAGGGGCATTAGGGTGTGTGTCGCCAACATATACAGGTGCGGACCAGCATGCGCTTTGGGCCTCTGCGCGTGCTTGCTTTGAATGGCGCATGGTATCAGTCTGAATCCCTTTATCACTTACAAATTGGCACAGTTGCTCGCACCAGTCGCACACCGCCAATGCTGCAAAGTCCAGTCCCATGAGCCCTGATCGCCTAGAAAACATACGATTGCTCGACACTACAACAATCTTGTCTTGTTCCACCCTATTACGTAGGGCGATGGAGACCTACGCCGGTCACCCTGCATTTCCGAGGTCGGCGGGGCCCCTCCACGCAGTCGCCGCCACCGTCGGCGCATTCTACGTCGCCGCCGTGTTCGCCATGCTCTGTGGTGGGATTCAGAACCCCGCCGATTGGACGCTGGTCGACCAGTGCATGGCGCAGGCGCTCCCCGACCCTGACGCGGCCGGTCTGGCGGACGTGGCCGTGGAGGCGTCGCACGAAGATGATGTCCTCGACCAGGCGGCGGCGATTGAGGACGGTCAGCTAGGCACGGGCACCCAGCTATTCCCGCAGCAGCAGCAGCAGCAGCAGCAGCAGCAGCAGCAGCAGCAGCAGCAGCAGCAGCCGCCGCCGCCGCCGTCGCGCGACATCGTGCCGTCTGTGTACTCCCTGCACAGGACAATCGTGCTGTTGGCCGAGGCTGGTGCAAAGCGTGGCGACGCCGCGGCCGAACTGGCCAAGGAGGGCCTGTCTGGGGTTTTGCGCGACGCAGTGCTGGCGCTCTTCGACTAGTGAGCATCGCGCTGTTAGTCTGCGCGGTCGATCCTCGGCGGCCACAATGGTGCCCGCGTTCCTTTTTTTGTGGTTTGTGTGCCTGGTGAGACTTTTGGCTGGGGGGCTGCGTGACGGTGCGAGGGCAAAATAGTCTGACGGCGCATTCGAGTTGAGTGGCCGTATGTAAGGGTCCAGAGAGAGCCCACAGGTGACTTCGGCGGCGGTCAGGGCTCCCGGTTGCCCGTAGCCAACATGCAGCCTCAATTTTGCTGCTGTTGTTGCTTGGGCAGCATGTGGGCCTTGCTGTGTGCTTGCGGAACCCTGATTTTTGTTGTTGGCGGCCGTGCCCCCGACAGCGGTTCCTCAAGAGTGGCCTGCTGTCATCCACATGCGCCAGCATTGGTGTCTCTGCGCGGCGCGTGCCTTTGCTACTGACATGTCTACATTCCAGCTCATTTGATCAGGTGTGCCAAATGCAACTCCATTTTGGTGGCAGGTGGAGAGTGACCAGCCATGAGGGGATGGTTTGAGGCTGGACAGGGCGGCATCGTGGGGCGGCGTGCGGCTTGAGTCGGGTGCGTGGTGCCATCGTGGGTCTTGATGGCCCTTGATTTGCGTTCTGTTGTCTTGTGTAATCTGGCACATTATTTTAAAGGCCTGTTAGTTGCCGTCCCCTCTGCAACCTGGCGTGGCCGGTACCGCCCTGAGACCGCCCTTTGCCTGCAGCACTGACGAGCCGAGGGGCGTTATCTGTGCGTGAGTCCCTATGGGCTGGCAGATGCTGCTGAGCTGGCCAACTAGCATTGCATGACACACCAGAATGGGAGTGTGCTCTGACAGTCGAGGGGGCGGGCCCGTTCCCGTCTCGGTGACAAGGGCAAGGAAGCTGCCGCCTGTTGCTGGTGTCACCACATGACAAACGTTGCGCCGCGGATCTGTACCATGCGCAATCGGTGAGCTTCACGGGTTTCTATGAGGACTGTCATAGGCAATGCGTGACAATAAGCATATCCATACCGTCCGTCTCCGTTGATCTGCCCATGCAGGGCCGGACTTCACCAGCGCAGCTGCTGAAGCGCGCGTGTGGGGTCGACTGTCGTAAGACCTCCGCATACACCACGCCGATCAACGTCCACGGCGGTGTGCTACAGAGCGTGGCAGCTGATGGTGGTGTACTGCAGCGCGGGACATACCTCACATTGAAAACTTCAGCCAAAAAAGGCGTCACGTGCAGCAGTGGCCTAGGACAGCTGCTGCGTCACCAGCTCATCGGGCTGCTCAAGGCCGAGCCCGTTCCTGTGGCTGGAGAAAGGGTCACCTTGCATAGCCATCCGCGTGTCTGGCGGGGTCGGCAATGCGGACACCGGCGCGGCTCAGCAGCAGGCGGAGCGGGCGGTGCGCGCGGCCCGTCGGCTGTCGCAGGCCGAGTTTGATGGGCTCGACGCCGGCGCGCTCAGCGGCCGTGTGCTGGACAAAAGGCCGCTCTTTGATGAGGTGAGTGACAGTGCAATACGCATCTGCCCTGCTTCGATGGCAACGCTCGTGTTGCGAGGGTGCGCATGGCTGTGTGCGTCCGCACGCGCGCAGGTGCACGCACGAGCGCGCGCACCTCTGGCGGCCCGCATGCCTGCCACCTGTGCGCGCCCTCACCGCATGCATCTCCTCCCCTCCCCTGCGGCTTGCCACCTATGCTTGTAGGGTGGCTGTTCCGACGGCCGCGGCGACGGCGACGTCGACGACGCCGACGCGCCTGAAGGTGGCCCTGTAGACTGCATGGAGTGCGAGGTGTGTTTTTGCGCCTCGCCGCACCCATGGGTGCTCTCCCGCGGGGGGCATGGTGTGAGGACGTGTGCTTCATAACATGCATGGCATTTGGGACATCTGTGTGCTGTGCATGCATGGCACACTGGTGGGTCATGCCGCATGGAACATGGACAGGCACACAGGCACAGCACCCGCATGTGCATGTGCATGGCATGCGCATGCACATGATGCAAAGTGCGTGCATGTGGGCCATTGCTCCGATTGTGCGTGTGTAGTGCACGCACGTACCCAAGGCCCCTCCTGTGCCCCCACCCCCTCACCGATAACGCTTCAGGGCGGCTGCGAGGACGGTGGAGGAGGCGAGGTTAGTAATGGCAACATGGGTGTGAATGGCACCGATGCGCAGACGCAGGGTGGCTAATGAGACGTCCTCAAGTCTAAATTGCGTCGAAAGCAAGTCAGGGATTGGACGGCTGATTGGTCGATCTACGCGCACGTCGAGCGCTGCCTCAGAACGCACCCACTCCAGAGACGCGACACAGGGTCATCACACCTGGTCGCGTCCTACCCCCGTCACCCGACTGCCTTGCAATTCTCCGCAGGAGGGCGCGCCGCGGGCGCTGCGGGAGCGGGAGGTGACGCCACCGGACGAAAATGCGGTGCCGCGGTGGCAGCTGGGGGCTGAGCGGCATTGCGTGACCGTGACAGAGGTTGGCATGGTGGATGGGGTGGGGAGGGGGGCAATCATCGGCGCGTCCGTTTGCACGCACAAACACACGCGCATGTACGGATTTGATTTGCACACGCCTGCACGCGCGCCCATATGTGCACACGCCCCTGTCGCGCTTGAGACTAACATCCTTGCACCCTCGGCGTGGCGGCGCCACCAACACCGACAGGAGCTGCGGCAGCTGCGGAGGCAGGTGGCGGAGGCCTCTGACCACCTGGCTTCCAAGGACGCCGCGCTCTTGGAGAGCAAGGCGGCACACGCGCGCGCGGAGGTGGGCGGACGGCGGTCCTCGTCTGGGT